TGCATTATTCGCTTGCTTGTTACGCACAAGTCTGTTTACAGCGCTGTCGGCCGCTGTTTTTTCCCTTTTATTTACTTCCGTGTGTGAGTGTGTGGTTATAAGTAGTTTTAAACCTTGTGATCCACAAAACAGCATAACAGTAAAAGAAGAACTGACTGCCTTACAGTCAGTGCAGGAGCAGCGGATTCGCGCCTCCTGCGCGATTCATTTGCAGTTTGGACGCATAGGTGATAACGTCTCCTGCCCTGATAGCAGCTGGGGGAGGACTATCCTCCGCCTGTGAGCGCCTTGGCACGGGTGAGGTGCCCACGGCAGTACCGCTGCTTATTGAGAGTAAGAGCGATACGCGTTTTCACGTCAAAAAGCCGTCATAAATAAGTCTCCAATAATACCAGGAAAAGTCGCCAGATTTGTCACTAGTCGCTTTTTAGAAAAAAAGTCGCTAAGGGGGTCTAAAAATTTCCTAAATATAGCGACAAAGTCACTAAGTTGGTAACACTGAGCGCAGGCTTGCCGTTGCTAAAATTAAACAGAGCTCCCTGAAAGGCACAGCCAATCACATTGGCCATATTTGTCACGTGACGTAGGACTCCAGTAGCGAACGTAATTTAATTTTTTCTGCACCGCTGGGTGAATGAGACGTTGACAGATCGTCTTTTTTCTTTCTATCGGTTTTGTTTTTCTTTACTCGAAGAGATCAAATTATTGGTGGGGACAATTCAATCATCGCTGGATATTGGTGGGGACATGTCCCTTCCGTCCATGCCAAATCTACGCCCTTGCTTTGAATACACAGGGAACAGAAAACAAACTGGAGGCTGGCTTGACACAAGTTCGGTTTTGCGCTATACAAGTCAGCCCTCTTAACACTGTGACCTTTCCAGGTGAAAGAAACGATAGTGATCACAGTAAGTAGAAAACCTGGGTGAATGTGGCTGGCTTTATGTCGGTTGAGGATTGTTGCTGAAATGTACAAGTTACCTTTGCGGGAAATGGTGCTTAGAACGCGGATAGTCTGGGAATCACATTTAAACTTAATAACTAACAGACCGCATTAATTAAAATAATGATAATTACGAAACACCGTAAATGTTAGTCTGTTTTAACGACTGGTCATCCTCAATAAATATTTTTAATGCGATGCATTTTTTGTCAAGCACACTGACTTTCGAAGTTTACAATGGTGAAAAATGAGGAAGTAATATTGTCTCTTTAACGATGGAATGAAATTGCAACTGAATTTGAGAAGAAAAAAAACCCGAAGACGCTATTTGAAATCAAAACAGTGCATTTCCACTGCTAAAAAATGAAAGAAACATATTAACAATATATTAATTTCGTGACAGAAGTCATGCCGGTAACTTTTTTGTTTGTTTGTGTTTTTTCAGATGAGGGTGTTCTGCTGCTGTACTGCTTTCCTGCTGCTCATCCTTATTCCCACAGCCTGTGAAGGAGGCAACATTTTAGTCTTTCCCTCTGAAGGCAGCCACTGGGTAAACATGAACATTCTACTAAAAGCTTTACACTCCAGAGGACACAACATCACTGTTTTACGTCCCAGCAACAGCTGGTACATAAAAGATGACTCATCCTATAATACCATTACAGTTCTAGTGGAGAATCTCTTGGATCAGAAGTTCATCACAAAACTTGTGTCTGACTCCATACAATTTGAACGAGGGGCCCTCCCCTTGACGAGTTTTCTTCAAATGAGTGGAGGGATGATCAGCTTGATTCTTGATGTTCATAAAGCTGTAGCTAATTTTGTATCTGCAATACTAGATGACAGTGACTTGATAAGAAAACTAAAAGATAGCAAGTTTGACCTGTTACTTGCTGACCCCTGCTGGGGTGGTGGAGTCATTGTGGCCAAATATTTGAACCTTCCTTTGGTTTATAATGTTCGCTGGTTATTAGGTACAGAGGCTCATTTTTCCATAGCCCCGTCACCATTATCTTACATTCCTGTGACTGGAACTGGCAATACTGTCGAGATGACCTTTTTTCAGAGAGTTAAAAACATGGTTTTACACATCATAACTCAAACACAGAACAGCCTGGCGTTTAAACTAGTATACCAGAAAACAGCTGACAAATATCTTGGGCCTGGTTATGATTTTAATGAGTTAATGATCGATGCAGACATTTGGCTGATGAGAGTGGACTT